CGAAAGGCAACATCAAGAAGGTCAGGGATCGCCTGAGAAAGAAGCCCAATCAGTCCGCTCGAAGAATTGCCAAACATATGGGTGTATCCGATCGATCAATCCGTCGAATTATCAAGGACAAGCTCAAGTTCAAGCCCTACAAGAAGAACAAATCCGCTCTGCTTTCGGCAGACGCCAAATTGAAGAGAAGAGATCGATGTGAAAGCCTTCGTCTTCGTTTCAACGGAATCGACCACAGGAACATTTTGTTCACCGATGAGAAAATTTTTACGATTGAAGGAATTCTGAACAAGCAGAACGATCGAGTTTGGTCGAAAACTCAACCAAATGTTACCGTCGGTCGCAGCGGCCACCCAGCTTCAGTCATGGTTTTTGGCGGTGTGACGGCTTCCGGCAAGACACCACTGATTTTTGTGCCACAAGGAGTCAAAGTTAATGCGAACACGTACTTGGATATGCTAAAGAAAGAACTTGTTCCCTGGGCTCAAAATCACTTCCAAAATCGCATCTGGACCTTCCAGCAAGATGGTGCTCCCGCTCACAAAGCCAAGATTGTTCAGGATTTCTGCAAAGCGACTTTTCCCGACTTCATTGCATTCAACGAGTGGCCCCCAAGCTCCCCAGACCTCAATCCATTGGATTTCTCGGTCTGGTCTGTTCTTGAAGCCGAGGCCTGTCAGAAACCTCACAAAAACCTCGAAAGTTTGAAGAAATCTCTCTTGAAAGCCTGGGAGGGTCTGGACGCCGCCTACTTGGTCGCCACGGTCGACGCCTTTCCCAAGCGACTCAAGTCTTGCATCGACGCCAAAGGAGGAAGATTCGAATATGATCAATAAAAGTTGTTAATTTAAGTTCAATAAATATGTTAAAACTGTTTTTGTGGCAAATTTTTCGTTTTTTGGTCATATTCCAATGGAACTTCTCTGCACCTATAATTCTGCCGCACCCTATATATATATATATATATATATATATTTAGCCGAAAAAATTTTTTAAAAAGAGAATTTGTAAAATTCTTTGTAAGACTTTTAACAAAATAAGTATATTTGAAAATTTTTAAGATTTTTTTGGTTTTTTAAAGAAAAGAGATTTCTACTTAAATCTAAATCAAAATTTGAACATCTAAATCATTTTTTTTTTGACTCATCAACATAAATGAACTCTGTGACCTCTGAAAATTAACTAAATAAATAACTAAACTAAAAACTAAAAACTGCCAGAATTTGGAAATGGCCAGACTCCCCAGAGTTCTGAGAGATTCCAATAGTCTCGAAGCCTTTAAAATGATCTGTAGATGATCTTGAGGCTCTAGTGGATCCTTGACATTATCTGTGCTACCCATTTACAAACATTTCATCGTGTTGCTTTTTATCGGCCCTTTTCGTGTTATGTGTACGAATTGATGTGGTTTTAATCTTAAATCTAGCGCACTTTATCTCAGATCCTGAATAAAGTATCTATCTATCTATCTATATATATATAGATAGATAGATAGATAGATACTTTATTCAGGATCTGAGATAAAGTGCGCTAGATTTAAGATTAAAACCACATCAATTCGTACACATAACACGAAAAGGGCCGATAAAAAGCAACACGATGAAATGTTTGTAAATGGGTAGCACAGATAATGTCAAGGGATCCACTAGAGCCTCAAGATCATCTACAGATCATTTTAAAGGCTTCGAGACTATTGGAATCTCTCAGAACTCTGGGGAGTCTGGCCATTTCCAAATTCTGGCAGTTTTTAGTTTTTAGCTTAGTTATTTATTTAGTTATTTATTTAGTAAATTTAGTTAATTTATTTAGTTAATTTTCAGAGGTCACAGAGTTCATTTATGTTGATGAGTCAAAAAAAAAATGATTTAGATGTTCAAATTTTGATTTAGATTTAAGTAGAAATCTCTTTCTTTAAAAAACCCAAAAAAATCTTAAAAATTTTCAAATATACTTATTTTGTTAAAAGTCTTACAAAGAATTTTACAAATTCTCTTTTTAAAAAATTTTTTCGGCTAAAGTCGAGACTTTTGGCGACTAGACGTGGCTCTTTTATCTTACATCCCGAATCTGCTTTCTCTAAATCCTCTAAATCCTCTAGAGCTTTTTTTTGTAAATCGTGTGATTAAAGTTTGAAATGCCCTTCTCGACAAGTTGCGTTTGATCGTTTGATCTCCACCGTGTCTGCTTTTAAAAGGTCTACTTTCGTTGCATTTTAAGTGACTTTGTGATCTTTTATTTGGTACATTTTTCATTTTCGTTTTCGTTTTCGCACTTTAAATTCGATTCTTTATTTAAATAAAGTATTTATATAAAGAATCAAAGAAAAATTCTCGAAATTATCAATTTCTCAGGGTTTTTTTTCCTTATTTTACACGTAATTTCTCTTATTTTCTTTCAAATTTCTTTAATTCTCATTACAATCAAATAAAATTAGTTAGCGCAGAAATTTTCGTAATGCGCTTTTCGTAATGCTTCTCGAAAATCAAAGAGCAAAAAAAAAACTATTCTTTCGTTAGAATATTGTTTTTTTTTATGTATTTTAAATGGATTTTAAATGCTTTTTAAATGCTTTTTTTAAATGTATTTTAAATGCTTTTTTAAATGTATTTTAAATGTATTTTAAATGCTTTTTTAAATGTATTTTAAATGGATTTTAAATGCTTTTTTAAATGTATTTTAAATGCTTTTTTAAATGCTTTTTTAAATGCTTTTTAAATGCTTTTTTAAATGGATTTTAAATGGATTTTAAATGTATTTTTAAATGTATTTTTAAATGTATTTTTAAATGTTTTTTTTCATGTATTTTAAATGTATTTTAAATGTATTTTAAATGTATTTTAAATGTATTTTAAATTCTTGCTTTAATTTTTGTTATTTTTAAGCAAATTTTGCTTTTATTGAACAAAGAATCGAATGAAAAAAGAATTTTACGAAATTTCATAAAGAAATTTTGATTTTTTGATTTTTTAATATTTTTATATGATTTTTTGTGTTGCCGATTATTCAAAAATCACTTAAAAATATGAATTTTTAAAAGAGAATATTTAAAACGGTTTGTAAAAATCGAAATCTTGCTTTTTAGTGTTCTTTACTTCCTTTTCAATGCTGCAAGATGTGATTTGTGTGAAGAGATTTGCTAAAAAAAACTCAAAAAACTCATTCTAGCACACGGAAATCTTTTGGGTAATGATTTGAGTTTATTAACAATGAAATGTACAAGATTTTATCTTTAGCCTTTAATTGAGTATCCAGAAATCTTGTAAACTTGGTAATTGATGAAAGAAGTGTGCAAGAATCAGTGTTGTTTTTTTTTTGCACAGTACATTCAAATCTTCTTTTGTATTCTGTGTGAAATGGAAACACATCAGTTCTACTCCACTTTTCTGCAAGAAAGTTCTGTCGTTGTGAGAAGAGATGAGAGAATCTAAAGAGTGTCCAAAAAAAAAGAGTTCATTCAGCTCGTTTCTCAGAATTTCTAGTGGCTTCTGATAGTTTTTCTGGGAATTTCTAGTAGCTAGTAGTTTCTAGTTTCTCAGAATTTCAAGACTTTATGGAAAAATAGCATTATTTGTTATCTGTTGCCTTTTAAAGATCAAATGTTTCAAATAAAAAACACCTATCAAATTTCTATAGGTCTGTTTTTGGCCGCTTATCAATTTAGCTCCCATCAAATTTCCATCAAACAACCGGTCTCGTGGTGTAGTGGTTATCACATCTGTCTAACACACAGAAGGTCGGCGGTTCGATCCCGCCCGAGATCATTTTTCTTTTTTAAACTTGAATTTTTTTGATAGCAGAGGCTAGAGGCTTGCGTTAATGATACGAAAAACATTGTAAAGTCGCTTTTAAACAGACAGAGATTACAGAATTTGATCATTGAAATGATCAATTTGATCATTGAAATGATCAATTTGATCATTGAATGATGTTGAAAATGATTGTTTAAATCTTTGATAAAGGATAATTTCATATTTGTTAAAGCTGAGCAAAGAAATTGTTTTGTTGATGATTTACTACCACGTAAACACAAAGAATCGAGGGTTTTCTTTGCATTTTTAGTAGTTTGAATTGTTTATTTTCTTTCTGTATTGTTTATTTTCTTTAGTAATGTTGTTTTTTTTATGTTTAATGTTTCTCTATCAGTATTTACTAACTTTTTTGTTTTAGGTGATGTCTGCGATGGGAAAGCGATGGGAAAGCGATGGGGAAGCGATGGGAAAGCGATGGGAAAGCGATGGGAAAGCGATGGGAAAGCGATGGGGAAGCGATGGGGAAGCAAGCTTTAACGCAAAAGTCGAATTCTTACAATGTATCTTTCAAAATCGAAAAGAAAACAACGCGAATCGAATGCCGTCAAAGGAATCTTAAAATTGGATACGCAAATCGGATTAGCAATCGAGAATGATGTTGGGAATGGCGTTTAAATATTTAATAAAGGATAATATTTCATTTTTTAAATTATTTTATTAAAACTATATTATTTAAATAGATTTTAGTGGAAAACGAGTTTTTGAAAGAATTTGAAACTTTGATTTGTTTACTTGTTTCAGATTTTCTTCTACTCACAAAATAATAAGCATTCCGGTCCTTTTTAAACGATTTTACAGTATCTTTTTGTAAATCTCTTGCTCTTAAAGCCTTTTCAACAATCCTGACTCACAAAGATCAAAAATCACGATCACAAATCCGATCAAAAAATCCCACAATAATCTGAACTCAAGAAATTTCTGTTAGCTGATCATTTCATGATTCTTTTTGAGCCAAAGAATTCTCACACAAGTTATACGATTAAATAATAACCGGGAAATCGCCTCTCTTCTCAAAGAAATCTCAAAGAAATTCTCTCACAACTTTTGTATCCACTCTTTTCTATATTCCTCTCTTTTGTTTTTCGAAAATTTGCATTTTTTTTCCTTTTTTGAATCATCTCTGAGAAATTTCACATAATTATTTTAGTTTCTTTTTCAAAATCAAATTCTCCTTGATCTTTATTCGATTTTATGGATGAGATGAGCAAATATCGCTTCTTCAACGACTCGCTGGCGCTGGATGTGTGTTTGAAAAGCTGTATAAGTTCTGTATAAGTTTAGGCTTGGGATATTTGATCGATTTTGAGATTTTGGATACTGTAGCTTCTGCATAGTGAGCTAGACTTTTTCTAAAGGTTACTGTAACTTGTATTTAGTTGGCTAAAGACTTTGTAAATACTCAATCGATTTTGGGATTTGAGAGGGTTACTGTAACTTGGGGATACTGTAGATAGCTAGGGAAAGAAGCTAGGGAAAGAAGCTAGGCAGAGAAGCTAGGCAAAGAGCCACTAAATTTAATGTTTGTCTTGTTAAAGCTCTGGATGATCTTCAGTGTAACGGCTTAGTGAGTAAAGGTTTACTGTAAATTGGCTGTAACTTCTGGCGGGACTCAAAAAACTCTAGATCTATGCTCTCTTCAAGCCGAATTTCGTCAAAGCCTTGGATGAACAATGTGCTGACTATGAAGAATTTGAGAAATCAGAAAGTATTCTGTTACAAGGTAGAAATTGATTCTAAGAAATTGGCAATCAATCCCAGGCATCATTTACTTGATCATTGGCACATCATTCGTCATTTTATATCTTCTCTGCCTTGTAGCAATGGCTCAACAGAAATTTATGAAGATTATCTGCTACAGGATACTGTAAGTAAAGCTCTATATAAGAAGCCGGTTTAAATACCCAAGTTTGTGCGTACCTTTGAAGTCACTCGTAAAAAAAGCGCGATCTGGCACACTGTTCGGGTAGAGGTGTTCGAAAAAGCCTCGGAGCCGGTTTAATTACCCAAGTTTGTGTGTACCCATCATGTCGCTCGTAAGAAAAAGCGGCATCTGGCGCATGGCTTCGGATACAAGATTGACCGACTTGGGTAATTAAACCGGGCAAAAGTCGACTCAAGGAAAACTCCAACAAGCTCAAAATCATCAACTTTACCCATTTCCAGTTTTGTCATCGGTATCGTCGATATTTTCAGCATGACACCAAACTCTTTACTACCAGGTGAGGCACTTAAACATTACAAAAGCCGAGCTTTTACTGTACTGTATTATATTCTAAGCCTTACCATATCCATTTCACGTCCCTTTCAGGCTATCTCCTCATCAACGGTTACTCTTTCTGTGAAAGTCCACTACTCAATTTGTACATTGGATCTGGATGTTTTCGTGAGTTTTTTAAAAACCTACCGTACTTTTTTAATATACTTTAGCCCTCTGGAGCACCTATTCAGCGCTAAGCATCGTTTTGGCTTTGAATCGTTGTGTTGATTTCATCAGTACGAAATATCAGGATGTAAGTACGATATTTAAACGTAATATTAGACTCAACATTAGTTTTATTCTAGTTTTGTTGACCAAGAATTTCTCGGTTCTACGACCAGGCCAGGCCAGGCTAGACAAGCCAAGATCAGAGCCAGAAACCCAAGCCAGTACCCAGCTTCTGACCTGGACTTGACCATGATCTAGATCTAGTCTAGTGAACAATCGTGTTGATCAACAAATCAAGTGCACTAGAAAGGATTTGTTTACAATTCAACCCACTTGCAGGAGCTCTTCGGCGGGAAACGTCTAATCTTCTGGATGATTCCTCCATTCATCTACGGGACCACTATCTATTTCACCTATCCACCACTCGTCTTCCACACACCAACCGCCAGCTATTACTTCGCTGCTGTACCTGATTTCTCAGAAGTTGGTTATAAGGGAAAAGGTTCTTAGATTGAACTTGTACCTGAACCTGAACCTAGATCTAGACTTAAAATTCATACTGGGCCTTGTACCTGGATCTGGACCTGGTTTCGAAATTGGGTCTAGATTTGGACCTGGATCAAAAGCTGGACCTGGTACTGGACCTGGTACTGGACTGGAAGCTATACCTGGACCTGGATCTGGACCTGAACCTGGCCTTGGACCTAGGTCGATACTGGATTTGGACCTGAACCTGGATCTAAACCTGAATCTGGGCTTGTACCTGAACCTGGAGCTGGATCAAAACCTGAATCTGGTATTGGGTTTAGACCTGGGTTGCAGAGAGCAATACACACAAATCCACTTCCAGACTCCGATCATCTTCTTCGTGAACAATGTCGGTGTCGCTATCAGCATTTTCATCTTAAATCTCTTTATGCTCTTTTTGATGTGGAGAATGAATCAAAAAATGAATGCGGCTACGAGTAAAGTGCAGAGAATTGTGAGTTCATCTTACAGCCTTTTCAACAATTGCCTCAGATCTCTCTTCAATGTTTTGGGATTTGCACGACTGTTCTGATCACCGGTCTTTTTTATGTCGGAATGCAATTCATCGAACTCCCACAATTCATGTACACTGTTACAAATCTATCATGGCAATTCTCAAATGGTAATTTTAACAATACCATAATCTGGTTCTATCGTTATTGCAATCCAATTGGTACGGTAGCTTTGGTTGCTTTTTTTTTCTCAAATTCTCAAATGGTAAGGCTAAAATTGTACCTTGTATTCACATTTTCTTCATTTTTGTCTAACAACAATTTGACACTACAAGAAAAGAAAAATGAAGAGCTGGGGTGCACTAGATGGTATTTGTTTCCAGTTTTTGGATACAAATTGCATCGAATTGACATCTAATTGATCTAATTCATAATTTCTTATCGAATCTATGCAATCAACTCTTGCAATTAGCATTCAAAAAAGCAATTAATGTAATTTGAAATTGGTTTAATAAAGAAGTCAACTATAACTTCTCTAAAGAGTCAATAATAATCTTGAATAAGGCTTTTGAAGTGTGCTTAGGAGAATCGAATTGTTCAAAGCAACCGAATCCAATTGTTCTACAGCTGATAACTTTTCTGAAACGCTTGAGAATGGTTTAATAAAGAAGAATAGTTTAGTGAAGAAGAATAGTTTAGTGAAGAAGAATGGTTTAATAAAGAAGAATAGTTTAGTGAAGTAGAATGGTTTAATAAAGAAGAATAGTTTAGTGAAGAAGAATAGTTTAGTGAAGAAGAATAGTTTAATAAACAAACTTTTCTACCACAACTCTACAATTCTCTAGGCTCAATGGCAATTTTCTACATGGCAATCAACAAATCGATGCGTCGCGAGGTGATCAAACTCATTTTTGGCGAAACACAGCGCTCGAATGTGCACAACGCGAATCGAATCTCGTCAAAGGAATCTTAAATTGGCTATAATTGATTATAATGAATAAAACATTCAATTTTCTATCTAAAAATACAGTACAAAGCTTTCCTAAACTATGACGTTTCAAAAAATAATCGCAGACTTAAGTAAAATGTTTTAATTACAAAAAAAAAGCATAATTTCATTAAAATACAAAAAATTCTTTGAAATCAAGAATAATTTTAGCCAAAAATCCCTTGAGATTGAAGGTTTTTGGAATTTGAGCGAAAAATTTCTTTACTTTGTTTCTAAGTACGATATTTGAGCTTTTGAAAAGCTTAAAATTAGAATTCTCTTCTTAGAAATCGAATTTTGAATGTTTTCTATAATTTTATAGATTCTGAGCACGAGAATTGAGCAAAATTGAGCTTTGCCTTTTTGGCTTTTACTTGTTCTTGTTCTTGTTCTTGTTCTTGTTCTTGTTCTTGTTCTTGTTCTTGTTCTTGTTCTTGTTCTTGTTCTCGTTCTTGTTCTCGTTCTTGTTCTTGTTCTCGTTCTCGTTCTCGTTCTCGTTCTCGTTCTTGTTCTTGTTCTTGTTCTTGTTCTTGTTCTTGTTCTTGTTACTTGTTTTCCGGTTTCCTGATTTTGTTCACTTTAGGTGATCAGCTTGTAAACTATGCGTATTTTGGGTTATTCTTTGAGAATCTTTTGTATGAAAACTTGAAAACGATATAAAACTCAATTGTCCGGTTTAATTGGGTTAAATTGCCCAAGTTTAGTTGAGTTCTTATGGATCATAGGGAAAATACGAGAAAATGGCTTAAGATTAGCACAAATTAGAGATTTTGTTTGGAGATTCAGCAAACAAACCCCGCCAATCGCTTCTCCGACCCCGAAAACCCCTGGGTACAAATTTTTGGCTTCAGATCTCATCTAAACAATGTTGACAGAGCAAAAGAAATTCCTTTGGAAAGAGACCGCGAGGTGTCCTTTGTGCGGCCGCGCAATCGCTCGTCTTCTGGCGCAAGGCTTTTACACAAGGCTATTTTCCTTCTACTGAAGCAGTCTGTCCCGGCTCAAATTCGACATTCTCCCCAAATCAAAGCTAATCTCAATCTCAATCTGAATGTGGTTTGAAGGGTAATTAACAATAGAAAATTAGAAGGGTAATTAACAATAAAAAATCCAATCAACAAGAACAAATTCATTCTTGTAAATCCATCCTGGAGATCTGGAATTCCATTCAATGTTGAATCGTCAAAATCGAGTACTTTTTCAATAGAGAAATCAACGAATCGGTTGGAGCCCGATAATTGTGTTTACTGGCTAGACTTTAAATGGTTAAGCTTTCATTTTTTGCTTATGCAAAGTGGCAAAAGGTATATTGATTCCCATAAGAGAACTGTTTCTCCATTGTATTTAATTGGATTTTCCGGAAATTCAGAAAATCTCATTGCCGATTGCCGAAGCCGATTGCTTTGAATTCGTAAAATATTCGTTTTTTTTTTGTTTTTTCATTTTCTAATCTGAATCAGCGCTGAAACCTTTTGCTTTTTGCTCGTTTATTTCTACAATTTTGTGTGTGTGAGAGAGAGCAAAAATCGGTTAATTTTTGAAAATTTTTGACAATTTCTTACACGTTCACAAGATCCGTTCTCACAAAAATCTCTTTGAATTTTATGAAATGATTTTCTTTTTTTTTTTTCTTTATCGCTTCACTGCTTTTCTTTGCTTTTTTTTTTATTGTTTTTCTCACTTTTATAAAGGTTTTTTTTATGAAAATTGTGAACTTATCCAAAAACAAAAAAATTTTCTTAGAATAAAAGTTGATTCACTTGGAAAATTTCTATATAAAAGCTTGCGAGTTTTGCATAAAATTTTGCAGAAAAATGAGTAAATATCGCTTTCTCAACGACTCCATAGCGCTACAGGTGAGTTTTTTTTTTAAAGTTTGTGCAGTGTGTGAGAGAATACCGATAGGGACGATGATTATTAGATATTTATTCGGAATCTAGCGAGAAAATACAATAAAATAGAATGAATCGTTTGTTCAGCGTTTCATAGCAATACGAAAGGCAATACGAAAGGAATACGAAAAGAATAGACGGAAAGGAAAAAGCTAATGTAAAGTGGGCTCCGTCCCTTTATCATAAAAGCGATCTTTTAGAGGCGGGACAAGAAAATCAGACATTCAAATCAAAACATTAAATAAGATTTCACAGAAAAGAACCACTTTTCTGCACAAAGTTAAAGTAAAGTTAAAGGTTATGGGATAATATTGGGTTGGGGAGAATGAGTCGGCGCCGAAAATGAAAGAAATTTCTAAAACTTATAGCAGACTTTGTCAAATGATATGCGTTTGATATCCGTAGAATGGTTAACTAATTCTCTACAAAATGACATTTAAAAGAAAATTCAAACAGCGCCTCCGCTCAAGAAAAAGCCATTTTTTCACAAAAACTACAAACTGTCATCTAGACCATTGGTGGGATCTTCCTGCAAATTTGGCAACTTATGTAATTGAGTGTGCTCTATCTTTTTTATATAAACACCAAAGGAGGTTTATGTGGAAGAAACTGTTCAAATGATGAGTCGGACTCTTTGCCATTTTAACCAGCTGCGTTTGGAAGTTCATAAAATCCCAAAAAAGAAAAGCTTTGTGGAATCTCTCAAAAGCCATTTTGCAAAGAAATAGTCGACCATTTTGATGAAACAAAACGTGTATTTAAAGAAAGTTTTATGGGTGCAAAAAGTTTCTTTAAATTTCGGCGCCGACTCATTCTCCCCAACCCAATACAATTGCTGAGTTAATGGAAGCTCTTTTTTTTAAACTATTATAAGCATTTTTAACTATTAGAAGTCTTTTTTAACTATTAGAAATCTTTTTAACTAACATAACCCTTTTTTTAAAAATCTCTAGTAATTCTGGATTGTTTTTTTGAGAAATTTAAAGCCTGGTAGCTTGTTTGAATTACTGTAGATTTAATTTTCAGTTCTCCAAGTGAACAATACACTTTGTTTTCCTCAAAACAGTAAACACATCCTTTCTAAAGCACTCCAAAAAGCTAATTAGCTTAGCAGCTTAACAAACGAATCATTGAGTTAGCCAGAAATGATTCTGGATTGCTGGAGCCAGAGGATTCCTTTTTGGGCCCAAAGTACGTCTCGGCGAAACATTGAACCTTTAAACATTATCTTTTTGAACAATCTGAATCCCCTGGGGTGATTTTAATTAAATTTAATCTTTATCTTTAGATCTATGCTTCATTCAAAGCGAATTTTGTTGAAGCTCTTGATGAAGAATGTGTGGGAACGGTGGATAACACAAAAAAGATCGTTTTTCAAGGTAATAAACTATTAAAAACGAATTCTATCTCTAGGAGTTTATCTCTAGGCGTTTTCTATTTATTTCTTGGCACATCTTTTGTCATTTTATATCTTCTCTGCCTTGTAGCAATGGCTCAACAGAAATTCATGAAGATCATCTGTTACAGGATACTGTAAGTGAATGGTTTGAAGACAATTGATTAATTTATAGACTTACTGCAATGACTTATTGATTGAGTTGCAGTGAGTCTACTGTAAACTAGTCTAGCTAGCGAATCGTATATAAGTAGAGGTCAGTTAACTCAGTTAACTCAGTTAACTCGTTTCAGCTTTGTCATCGGTATCGTTGATATCATCAGCATGACACCAAATTCTTTGTTACCAGGTTTATAAATGCAAACTTTCAAAAGAAAAATTGTTTTTATGATTATTCTAACAATAAGTGACATGTAATCTCATAGAAATACTTTTCAAATAATCAAATATTAGCAGATAGACAATCATTAGATACACAATCATTAGATAGACTATCATTAGATAGACTATCATTAGATAGAACTATCATTAGATAGAACTATCATTAGATAGAACTATCATTAGATAGAACTATCATTAGATAGAACTATCATTAGATAGAACTATCATTAGATAGAACTATCATTAGATAGAACTATCATTAGATAGAACTATCATTAGATAGAACTATCATTAGATAGAACTATCATTAGATAGAACTATCATTAGATAGAACTATCATTAGATAGAACTATCATAAGATAGACTATCATTAGATAGACTATCATTAGATAGACTATCATTAGATCGACTATCATTAGATAGGCTATCATTAGATAGAACTATCATAAGATAGACTATCATTAGATAGACTATCATTAGATACACAATCATCAGATAGACCAAAGATTCAACTCTCATTCAAAACAAGTCGAATTCTATCTAAAGACTTGATCAGATAAAATCCCTAGTCTTACTGTACTTATTTGAATCATAAATTGTAAATAAATAAGAGTCTTACTATAGTTAAGAGTTTAACGAAAAAAGAATGTACTTACTTACTATCAAAATGCTATTACCCATTTCACGATCTTTCCCTTCTCAGGCTATCTCCTCATCAACGGTTACTCGTTCTGTGAAAGTCCATTGCTCAATTTGTATATTGGATCTGGATGTTTTCGTGAGTTTGTTTACTTTACTAGTTTACTTTACTAGTTTACTTTACTAGTTTACTTTACTTGTTTACTTTACTTGTTTACTTTACTAGTTTACTTTACTTGTTTACTTTACTAGTTTACTTTACTAGTTTACTTTACTTGTTTACTTTACTTGTTTACTTTACTAGTTTACTTTACTTGTTTACTTTGCCTCGTTTTATTAAAATAAACTGTGAATCTCTAATCTTAGAATTTCAAAATCTTCTTTTCTTCCCTTAAAAACCTTTTGAAAAATCAAATTTTTAAAAACTTTAACAAAAAAAGTTAAAAAAGTAAAAAAAAATCAATTTTAACAAAGGAAACCTTTAGTTTATTCTCTTATTTACCAATTATAATATTAAAATAAACATTTTAGCGCTCTGGAGCACTTACTCAGCACTGAGCATCGTTTTAGCGATCAATCGTTGTGTTGACTTTCTTGGGCCAAAATTTCAAGAGGTAAGGAAAACAAGAGAATTTCAAGAAGAAGAACAGGTGCTCTTCGGTGGGAAATCTTTAATCTTCTAGATGATTCCTCCATTCTTCTACGGAATCACTATTTAAACGTAATATTGGGCTCAACATTAGTTTTATACTAGTTTTGTTGACCAAGAGTTTCTGGATTCTACGACCAGGCCAGGCCAGGCTAGACAAGCCAAGACCAGAGCCAGGAACCCCAGCCAGTACCCAGCTTCTGACCTGGACTTGACTATGATCTAGATCTAGTCTAGTGAACAATCGTGTTGCTCAACAAGTCAAGTGCACTAGAAAGCAGTCAAGTGCAGTCAAGTGCACTACTCGTTTCCAATCCAATCCACTTGCAGGAGCTCTTCGGCGGGAAACGTCTAATCTTCTGGATGATTCCTCCATTCATCTACGGGATCACTATCTACTTCACCTATCCACCACTCGTCTTCCACACACCAACCGCCAGCTATTACTTCGCTGCTGAGCCACAGAATTCGAAAGTAAACACGAGATTTAAGAGCTAATCAAAAGCCAGCATCTGGTAACAGATAGTGCACAGGTTAATGTATTGTATAAGCTATACCTGGACCTGAACCTGAGTCTGAACCTGACCTTGGACCTAGGTCGATACTGGATTTGGACCTGAACCTGGATCTAAACCTGAATCTGGTAATGGATTTAGACCTGGGTTACACAGAGCAATACACACAATCACTTCCAGCAATACACTTCCAGACTCCGATCCTCTTCTTCGTGAACAATGTCGCTATTAGTAGACTACAGTTAGTACTAGATTCGTAGCAGATCAAAGATCCGTCTAAGTGTAGAAGATTGATCTGTGAACACTCAAATTTTTCAGACGCCAATCATTTTCTTTATCAACAATGTCGGTGTCGCAATCAGTATCTTCATCTTAAATCTCTTTATGCTCTTTTTTATGTGGAGAATGAATCGAAAAATGAATACATATGCGAATAATTTGCAGAAAATTGTAAGCAATGGCTAGATCTATTGAAATTTCCTCATTCTCAGATCTCCCTTCAATGTTTTGGGATTTGCACGACTGTTCTGATCACTGGTGTTTTCTATGTTGGAATGCAATTCATCGAACTCCCACAATTCATGTACACTGTTACAAATCTATCCTGGCAATTCTCAAATGGTAATTTTAACAATACCGTTCTATCGTTATCGTCATCCAATGAGCTATATAGCTTTGCTAGCTTTCTATCTTTTAGAAAAGAGCCTACAATTACCGTAACCTCTAAAGAGTCAATAATAATCTTGAATAAGGCATTTGAAGTGTGCTTAGGCGAATCTAATTGTTTAAAACAATCGAATTTAACTTTTCTACAGCTGAATGATGATAACTTTCCTGAAACGCTTGAGAATGGTTTAATAAAGAAGTTACAAACTTCTCCACTATAACTCTACAATTCTCCAGGTTCAATGGCAATTTTCTACATGGCAATCAACAAATCGATGCGTCACGAGGTGATTCGACTCGTTTGTGGACATCCACGCCGATCAACGGTCCAAATAACACTCACTTCGAAAGAAACATAATCGTGTTGTTTTGTGTCTTGAATTCTATCAATTTCTTGAGACTTTATTTCCATAAATTTGACAGCACTTCGAGAAAGGCAGAATTAAGAAAATATGCATTTATTCACACGAATAATCGCATATAAAGAGCTCTAAATGTATGGAAGAAAAAAAGTCGTCAATATCTAGGAAGAAAAACGAAAAGACCAGACGCGGGATTGAACCATCGACCTCCCGACTGAGATACAAGGCTCTTAGCCAGTTGGCCATAGTGCTAACGAGGCGGGGACGTTTCGAATGCCATTAAATTGATAAACCTTTTAAATAACACCTTCTAGCACACTCAGAAATCGATAACAAAGTAATGAGGAAACAAGAATTCCAAAGAGAATGCGTTTGTGCGTGTGCCAAAGAGAATGCGTTTGTGCCAAAGAGACTTAGAAAATTTTAGTCTGGAATAATTCTGTTTAAAATTCAAAAACTTACTCTTGATTTTTCACTTCTAGATACTCTTTAAGGATGAGCAAAAGGATGATCAAAAGAAATGACTCTTTCTTTTGCCGATTTCTCCACTTATCCCCCTCCTCATGACCCTTGAATAGCCGTTTTTTTTGAGTGCGGTTACTTCAAGGACTTCCAGAAGTTCAAAAACGGTGAACTTGGTTTTCATTTCCTTTGTGAAATGCTGAAAGTTTTCCTATTTCTTTGCATTGTGGCTTTGCTTGAGTCAGCGATTTTCTCCAGAAAATCGCACAAAAATTTGCCCGAATCCTGGATGAAATTGTTGAATTCAAAGCCAGAGCTGAAGAAAATCTACATCGAATTAAGCAGAAAGTTTGGGTTTGTTTTCTTTGTTTTCTTTGTTTTCTTTGTTTATAAGTTCGATTTAATTTTAAAATAAGCATCTTTTCTTTGAATTTAATTGAATTTCTTAACTAAAACTATTGAAAAATTGGCTTTATAATTGTTTTTCAGCTCAAGAGAAGCTCGAGCCTTCGCCTCAGTCATCCAAGCACCCAGCAATCCTTTAATTCCCTTCAAAGTGCCTAAAAATAAACAAAATGTAAGCGAAAAAACGGAAATTGAAACAAAATAATATTTTAGAGTCGACTCAATCGACAAGATCAATCATTTACACAGCTTGCTAATCCATTGTACCGTTTCCGCATTGCCAACTATTACTATAAGAGGATTCGGGATCATTATGATGTGGTCAGTTATCGATTAGAGCTGAATATCGAGTTCTTAGCATCAATTAGAATCTAGAATTGTCATTAAATCGAGAAAAACTAGGTTTTCTGGTGAAAACTGATTTTCTCCTCGGGTACGCAAACTTGGGTAATTAAACCAGCTTGGAGGCTTTTCCGGCAAGCTCTATCCGGGCAGCGTGCCAGATGATGCTTTTTCTTACAAGCAACATCTAGAGTATGGACAAACTTGGGTAATTAAACCAGCTCGGAGGCTTTTCCGGCAACCTCTATCCGGGGGCAGTGTGCCAGACGATGCTTTTTCTTACAAGCAACATCTAGAGTATGGACAAACTTGGGTAATTAAACCGGCTCAGAGGCTTTTCCGGTCACCTCTATCCAGGCAGTGTGCCAGGTGCCACTTTTTCTTAGGAGTAACATGAAAAGAACGCACAGTTGATTTTGTTTTGATTCGATGAATTTTCAGCTCTTCCATCACCTATCCTCTCCAATGTTTGGCGCAATGCCAGCAAGATTAAATAACGAGATTGAAACGAATGAAGTGCTTGACTCAAATGATGACAATTCAGTCTCATTCAACAACGATCGACCACAAAGAAGATCAACCACAAACGTGAATTCGGGATTGAATTTTGGAACCTCTGAAAATCGATATTGGTATGATTACGGTAATTGAGAATTGAAAATTAAAAATTAAAAATTGAAAATCATAAATTTCTCTTTTGTTTAATAAATTTAATAAATTGTTTTATAAATTTAATAAATTGTTTAATAAATTATTAGATTTCCCTTTTGTTTAAATATTCATACTTTATTCAGGACATGAAATAAAGCGTAATCAGTCAGACAATACACAAATCTACACATAAATACATAGAGAAAGATGAGACATTTTACTCGGCGATGTGGAGGCGGGGAGAAAAGAAGATAGATAGAAGATAGGCTTCTTGCTTTAATAACCTCAGGCCATGAATGGGCCAACCCAGTGGAAGAGTGAACTCCGCTAGAGAAGGGATCTCTAGTCAGCTCTAGAGAAGAGACCTCTAGTCACATAGAAAAGTTTTATGTGCTGAATAAAGATGTTTTATTAAAGAAAAAAAAGCAAGCATTTCATTCAAAATCTGCCTTTTCTTTGCTGAAAAAAACAAGACCAGCATTTGACCAAACAAGGAAATTTTTTAAAATTCATTTTTTGAATCATTAATGTTTTCTGAATTTTCTGAATTTTCTGAATCTTTCTTTTGAATTCATAAAAGTTATTTCTTTGAAAGGCTCAACTTTAAATAAATCTATTTACATGAAAACGATTGTAGGGACAGGTTTGTGCAATAGAAGAGATGTGTTTCCACTTCTAAGCACAAAGTCCACCAAGCTAAACTGAGCAGAGACAGGTTTGTGCAATAGAAGAGATGTGTTTCCACTTCTAAGCACAAAGTACACTAAGCTAAACAGGATTTCACTCTATAAACGCTTTCCATCTGGCGTACCACTGAGAATCTGATGCTTAAAAATGGAAACCCAACCTTTCTAGTGTCTAAAATTCTATTTTCTCTTTGAAAACAGAGAAATAACAAAGAAACAAGTGCACTAGATAGAGTGCGTTTTTAGCTGAGCCCAAAGTTCAGCTCAAAGAATCGTTTCCATTTGTTCAATCTTTCCTAGAATACTCAGTATTGGTATTTCCCCATTTCCCCGCTTGAAATCTCTATTGGAAATGGTTGGATGCATTGCCAATTAGGGGATAATCCCGTTCTGAAGAGATTATGAACGGGCATTCGTAGAGAAAAAGGGAAAACCCCCCCGCCCAGGCAACCATGGACACCATTTTCACTTTTCAGAGTTTGTACTAAAACTGAACTTTAACTTTTTGACTTCCTAGGGATTTTGCAACCTTTTGCATTTAAACCTTGGTTTTAAGCTGAGAGCTAACACATCTTGTTCAGTTTTTTGGCGCTCATTTCGATGATGTCGTTTGGGGAATTTTGAGATATTTCCCTTCAAAGTTTACGAGAAGATTGGGCATCAAGGAGACCGCGCACCCAAGTCATAAGATGGCCAGAATGATCATAAAGAACATAATAGTCATAATTGTTCTACTAGCTTGTAAACATAAGCTCATGACCTAGTGGATAATGAGCTAGAGCTCTCGCTCTTTTGTCCCTGGTTCAGATCTGGCTGTTTTAGATTTAGACAACAAAGAAACCTGAAAAAAAAATTATTTAGACAGTTTTTAGCAGTCCAGCCATTCAAAAAGTCCAGCTGCAACCGGATCTGAACCAGGGACAATAGATAATAACCTAGTGGATAATAACCTAGAGCTCTCGCTCTTTTGTCCGGTTGCGGCTGGACTTTTTGAATGGCTGAACTGCTAAAAACTGTCTAAATAATTTTTGTCAGGTTTATTTCCTGTCTAAATATAACACAACCGGATTTGAACCAAGAACAAAAGAGTGAGAGCTCTAGGTTATTATCCACAAGACCACGAGCTCATGGTCACAAGCGTCTGTAGAATCGTTATCCTTGGCGCGGTAGATGTTGATTTTTAACGTAAACTTTGAAGGGAAATATCTCAAAATTTCAAAAAACCCTCATCCCCAAACGATACCATCAAAATCAAGCGCAAAAAATTGAAGATACGCTAGATCTGAGCCTATCCCAAGGTGTAAATCCAAAAGCATCTCTAGTTTTGACTTTTGACTAAGCCTTACAAGACGATTCTTAGATTTTAGATGAAATGCTTCTTCCATCACTCACTCATTCTCTTCACTCTACCCTCCACTGTCACGGCTTTCGATTGGGGCGATTTTCACAAGGTTTTGACAAACAATAAGAAGTTTATTTGACAACAAGCTTGAGCTTACGTTTAACTGAATAAAGATAAGTTCAAAGCAATAGATCTAATAGCTAATCTAATAACTTATCTAATAGCTAATTTAATAACTTATCTAATAGCTAATCTAATAGCTAAGCTAATAGCTAATCTAATAGCTTATCTAATACCTCTCACAGTAAACTTTTCTTCCCTTAGGTAGCAGTGATCTTTTTCTCATTCCTTGGCCCAATGCTTATTCTATCAATGATCGCCGCAGCTGCATACTTTGCTTGCATTAAATCGTGGTATGAACGATTTCGAGATGATGTACACGAGACACATCGGTGAGTAAAGAAAGCTAAACTTAAAAGAGCTTAAAAAGAGCTAAAGCTAGAGCTAAAGCTAAAGCTAAAGCTAAAGCTAGAGCTAAAGCTAAAGCTAGAGCCAAAGCTAAAGCTAGAGCTAAAGCTAAAGTTAAAGCTAAAGCTAAAGCTAAAGCTAGAGCCAAAGCTAAAGCTAAAGCTAGAGCCAAAGCTAAAGCTAGAGCTAAAGCTAAAGCTACAAAGCTAAAGTGAGTTAAGGTTAAAAGGAAATAAAATTGACAGAAACTGTTAGAAGTCCCTTAAAATCTAGCATAAAGTTAACCTCTAGAAAAACTCTATTGAACATTTTCATTGAACATTTAACCTCTTTTTGTATCTAATTTTAGCCTTCTTATTAGCTGAATTAGAACGATTTAATGTTATTTTCAATCTAAATTCAATATGAATTGATTTCAATGAAAGATATTGTTAGAAATGATGAGTAAAAAGGTCCCAACTTTTAGCTCCTACCATCCATGGCCACCAGGATCTGCCAAATGGCAATTACAGCAATTTAGTAAGTTAATAAAACATTGAAATCTATTAAAGAGCTCTGAAAAAGTCTTTTAGCTATCCAATTTTAGCTTAAGCTTTTCAATTTTAAACTTAAAAGAAGCTTTGGATTCGAAAAAATTCTCTAAAATAAAAGCTGTAAAAGATAGAGTGTGTTCCTCGCGAGTAAGTAATTACTCGAGTAAATTTGAATGAGGAATAGCTCGAGGAATAGCTCGAGGAATAGCTCGAGTAATAGCTCGAGGAATAGCTTGAATAATAGCTCGAGGAATAGCTTGAGTAATAGCTTGAGTAATAGCTAGCGTAATAGCTGCAATAGCTCGAGGAATAGCTCGAGGAATAGCTCCAGTAATGGCTCCAGTAATAGCTCCAGTAATAGCTCCAGTAATAGCTCGAGTAATGCGTTTTCTAAAATATAAAAGCAACTTTTTGCGCAGATTTTTCAAAACAATAATTTTTTACCGGAAGGGAATCTCCCACGAAATCAGTTAAACGGCTGAGTATCTTTAAAAAGTGTCGTGATTTTTGCGTCATTTTTTTGCAATAATTTTTACTAAAAGTACGGTAATTTTTTCCCAAGTGTGCGTTTTAAAAGAAAGCATTACTCGCGAGGAACACACTCTAGAAAAAGAATTTGTAAACTTTTCTCTTTTTCATTATTTTCTCTCAATATTTCTTCAAATTCTCTTTTCAATAGTTCTATTTTATCTATTTTCTTTCTTCCTTTCTTCCTTTCTTCCTTTCTTTCTTTCTTTCTTCCTTTCTTTCTTTCTTTCTTTCGTTCTTTCTTTCTTCCTTTCTTTCTTTCGTTCTTTCTTCCTTTCTTTCTTTCGTTCTTTCGTTCTTTCTTTCGTTCTTTCTTTCTCTCTTGCTTTCTCCCTCTCTCTCTTTCTCTCTCTCTTTCTCTCTCTCTTTCTCTCTCTTTCTTCCTTTCTTCCTTTCTTCCTTTCTGTTTACTTAAACGTTTCATGAATTCTTTCTCTTTTTGACTCAAATAACACTTACACTTCATTTCTTTTTGAAAATAAAACTAATAAAACTATTTTAAACTTCTATCTACTAAAATTATCGATTTTTATTCAAATTCTAAGTGCGAATCTGCTTTTTAATTTTAATTTTAACAATTTTAAATAATTGGCTTTGAAATTTCTCAACAAAACTTTATAAAATCCTTTTAAATACTTGAAAATTGATAGTTTTAAGGAAAATATTTCGGGTTTTTCAAGTTTTGGAGAGATTTTCAAGGGTTTTTAATGGTTTTTGATTCTTTATTTCATGATTCTTTTCTGATTCTTTAGTAAACGCTGGCAAAGGTCTTCCCGCAAAGTTTTTTCGTCCATCGCCTGGAGAACCACCGCCGGTAAAGATCTTTCGATAACATTAACTAATCAGCTTTTTATCTAATTTCTAAAAAACTAGTTAAACTAAGCCTATATACACTACTGGACAATGAAATATGATATTTGAAAAAAGATCGTCAATTTCGCGCCTCTGTAACTCCCCTGTCTTTACCGTATTTCTAAATATTAATATTCCCATTGTGTAGCCGCTGAAAAGAGCTTTCAGAAAATGTATAACACTAATAGTTTAAACTCAAAGACAACGGAGTTACAGACGCGCGAAAGTGACGATCGTTTTTTCAAATATCATATTTCATTGTCTAGTGCTGTAGCACTACGGCACTAAACTACCTTTTCTGCTTTTATTAGAGGCAATACGCACAATAGCTACGACTATTCTGCCAATAGTCGTAGCTATTGTGTCATGTGAAATAATGTGAACGTGTCAGTAAATTCCCGAATGTCAGTGCTCAGTAAATTCCCGAATTTAAGATAATAAAGCTTTTTCAGCTGTTGATTTCTACTTATTAAAAACGTTCTTGTTCACCTCTTACAATTAGCGTTTTACTAGTAACCAGTACCAGGTTACTGGTAATGAGTTACTGGGGGTTACCAGTAACTCATTGATAGCTATAGCACTACTGGACAATGAAATATCATATCATAAGATCGTCAATTTCGCGCCTCTGTAACTCCCCTGTCTTTACCGTATTTCTAAATATTAATATTCCCATTGTGTAGCCCTTGAAAAGAGCTTTCAGAAAATGTATAACACTAATAGTTTAAACTCAAAGACAACGGAGTTACAGACGCGCGAAAGTGACGATCGTTTTTCAAATATCATATTTCATTGTCCAGTACTGTAGCTTTTAAGTGGAACTTTCAGTCTCCGGCAAACTAAGGCCATATATCTACTTAATAGCTAATAATTGAAAAGAAATGAAAGCAAATTCACGCAGTTTAAAATCGTTGAAACAACAGTGACAAAGTTTTATCCAAAAAAAACTTTTTTCCCATTGTCCAAAACGGTTTCATGCATCTAAATGCCCTTATTAATCAATAATAAAACAATAATTCTTCTTCTACTATATAATAGACGAATTTCCAGGGCTTCAAACCGCCACTAATTCCTGATCAAGCTCCATTGGCTGTTGTTGCCGGTGCTCAATACGTTGGCCTTCTCGGCACAGCTCCTCGTGGGTTTTAAAAACGGAAATTCCCTTGATTCCCTTGATTCCTTTGATTTTGAAAACTAAACAACGAATTCTATCATTTATTAAGTGAAAAATGTTGTTATTGAAATAAAATTGGTCTCTTGCATTGGTTTGCAATTAAATGGGTTTGCCTCTGTTGCAGAGCTGTCTGTTGCCTGTCTCCCGTCTCCACAAACCACTTACACCATTGCTGTTGATCCAAAAAACAAGGAACAAGTTGGTTTTCTTATGAAATTATCATTTATTATGATAAATAATATAGATTTATCATGATTTTATGCAAATTTTATGCAAATTTTTGAGATATTCCTCTTTTCAGGTCCCTTACACTACTGTAATCCGTCCAAAACAAGAGCAAGCTGTTCCCATTGAGGTTTATTGTTAAGAAAACTTTATAAAGTACAAGGATTTAGATGTAAAATCTTTAAAAGAATATCTAAGATTTTAAAAAATCGTTTGCTGACTCAGTGATAAGATTTTAGCATTGAGCAAAAAAAGGAGCGATTACGTGGCCGTTTTTCGTCTTTTTTTTCAATTCTAGACTGATTTTATCGATTTCTTACCAAAATTGAATCATTCTTTTTGAAGTTTTTGCTTTATTTGACTGTTTTGGTGAATAACTTTTCTACATTGAACTAGTTTTGCATTGAGCAAAAAAACGAGCGATTACGTGGCTGTTTTTCGTCTTTTTTTTCAATTCTAGACTGATTTTATCGATTTCTTACCAAAATTGAATCATTCTTTTTAAAGTTTTTGCTTTATTTAACTGTTTAACTGAATAACTTTTCTACATTGAACGTTTTAAAGCATTGAGCAAAAAAAACGATTACGTGGCCGTTTTTCGTCTTTTTTTTCAATTCTAGACTGATTTTATCGATTTCTTACCAAAATTGAATCATTCTTTTTGAAGTTTTTGCTTTATTTAACTGTTTAACTGAATAACTTTTCTACATTGAACTAGTTTTACATTGAACTTCATTCATTGAACTTCATTTACAATGAGCCAAACTTCATCATCGACCACCGTTTTGCGTAGACCGGTTTGTATTAGTGTCGAGATCTAAAATGTAGATCTCCAATCGATTCGCCGACCTCGAAAACCCCCGAGTACAAATTTACAACTGAATATCTGCTTTTTGTATCATCTACAAAGCAAAAGGAAAAATTCCTTGTAAATGGCTTGATGTTCTTTGTGCGGCCGCGTAATCACTCGCCGTCTGGCATAAGGCCCTGATAGATACCGGTTGCGGGGTGGCGAAGATTTAAATCATTTTTTAAGAAAATGGAATGACTTGAAAGCATTCATTGATATTGATATTCAATTTAGTCAACAATTTTCATCGATTAGATTTCCTTGCCTAAAATGCAACATTGCGATTAAAGAAAGTTAAAGAGCTAAAGAAAATCATTTTTATTTTCGAAAAAAAGGCATAACCTCCCGCAATTGCGAAAATTCAAAGCAAAAAAAAGTCTTTATACCTTTTCTCCTTTTTGTTACGTTAAAGCTTTGCTGATTTTTATGAGGCTTAGGCTTAGAAATAGAATTCCAAAAATTGAAATTGAATAAATTGAATTCGAAAAAAAACATACAAGTGAATTGATGTTGGGACGAAAACTGAAAACTCGACCTGAATTTTTTGTGTGATTGCCTGGCTATTCGGCTTTCGGCATTCGACTCAACAACGTCAATTTGCTGCAATTCGCCGGATTGTATCCTATTGAACATTTATGGGCCCATGTCAAACGACAATTGCGAGAATTCCGTCATTCCGAGCATTGCGTCAAAAAAAGGAGCTTTGGGACAAGGTTCCTGACATTTGGAGCTCCATTTCACAACGAATCACGGGAAAATTGAGTATACCAAATCGTCTTCAGGAGATTATTAAAAGCTAAAAGAGGCCCAACACGATAATGAATTTTTTTTAGAAATAAGCAGCTTTTGAAAAGGTATCAAGGCTTTTTTTGCTGCTTTTTTATTTTTGAGACTTAAATAGTTTTCGTAAAGAGTCTATCTTCTGTTAATTGTAACTTTTGTTTTAACTAATCGAACAAAAAGCTTTGTTTTATCTAATCAAACAAAAACGAGCTGAATTCAATATTTCTGGATACTCAATTTGCTAGTTTTCTAAGCCTACCTAGTTTCTGAACACTAGTATCAAAGACTTTTTTTCGATCAGTTTATAGAAATCTTTATGAAATTGATTTAAAATGAACCAATTGACCCTTTTAGACGATTTTCTCAGCCGCTCCTACTTCAAAACCGACAATTGCTCCAACAGTGACTGTGATTCCGCCCGATCACCCAACAATGAGCAATGTTTGTTTTTAAAAACTAGAATAACTTATAAATAATCATTAAACTAATAAAATTAATAAAACTAATAGAACAAATAAACTAATAAACTAATAAAACTAATAAAACTAAGAAAACTAATAAAACAAATAAACTAATAAACTAATAAAAGAAATAAAATAAATAAAACTAATAAACTAATAAACTAATAAACTAATAGACTAATAAACTAATAAAACTAGTTAAACTAATGGAATAAAACTAATAAACTAAATAAACTAATAAAACAAATAAAACAAATAAAACTAATAAAACAAATAAAACAAATAAAACAAATAAAACAAATAAAACAAATAAAACAAATAAAACAAATAAAACTAATAAAAATCATAAACTAATTAAACTAATAAAATTAATAAAATTAATAAAACAAATAAAACAAATAAAACTAATAAAACTAATAATACTAATAAAACTAATGAACTAAACATTTCTAAACACTTAGAATCATTTCTATTCCATTTTCAGCAAATCCCGATCTCGGTAATCACCGACTATCAAAAAGGAAATGAAGAGAGGTCACTTTTACAATAAAAGAATATTTTTTTATTGAAATTTAGAATTTATATTATCTTTATATCTTTAATTCAATAGCATTTTAAGGGTTCAAAATGATTTCTGAATTTTATAGAGAACCGATCATTCGAAGCCCAATTGGAGGGAATGTTCTGTATTCGCAGGGACACGATTGGACACAAGTTTGAGCCTTTTTGAGCTTTAGGGACATGATTGGACACAAGTTTGAGCCTTTTTGAGCTTTAGGGACATGATTGGACACGTTTG